GTCATAGTGGATCGATTGACCAAGAGTGCTCATTTTATCTCGATCCAAGAGAGCATATAGGCCGAGAAGCTGGCCGAGATATATGTGCGGGAGATAGTGGCACGACATGAAGTGACTGTCTCGGTCGTGTCAGACCGAGATGTCCGTTTCACTTCCATATTTTGGAAACGGTTTCACGAGGAGATGGGTACTCGTCTCCACTTCAGCACCGCTTTCCACCCCCAGATAAACAGACAGAGCGAGAGGATGATACAGACTCTCGAGGACATGCTACGCGTATGTTTTTTGGATTTCGGTGGCAGTTGGGATACGTATATTCCATTAACATAATTTTCGTATAACAACAGTTACCACGCCAGCATAGACCGACCTCCATTCGAGATGCTCTACGGGAGGAAGCGTAGGACCCCAATCTGTTGGGGTGATGCCGGTCAGAGAGTCATGGGGATTACTAAGGTAGTACTCAAGACTACTGAGCAGATCCAGCAGGTCCAGAGCAGGCTCCAGACTGCTTAGAGTTGGCAGAAGAGTTACGCCGATAAGCGGCGTTCAGATTTGGAGTTTCATGTGGGCGATATGGTCCTCCTGAAGGTGTCACCTTGGAAAGGTTTCGTCCGATTCCGGAAATGGGGCAAGCTGGGCCCCAAATTCATTGGTCCTTTTAGGGTTATAGCCCGGGTGGGCAGGGTGGCTTATCAGTTGGATCTATCGGCGGAGCTCATTCAGATCCACAACACTTTCCATGTTTCCGAGATGCGGAACTGTTTAGTGGATGATTTAGCGATTGCGCCGTTGGAGGCTATTCAGGTTGACGACAGTTGAACTACATCGAGAGACCAGTGGCGATTCTGGATCGCAAGACGAAAACCTTGAGGAACAAGGTTGTTCAGTTAGTGAAGGTGCAGTGGCAGCACCGTAAGGGTTCAGAGTGGACATGGGAGCCCGAGGAGGAGATGAGGGAGCACTACCCGAAGTTGTTTTCAGATGCAGCAGACTTCGAGGACGAAGTCAAAGACAAGTGGGGGAGAATTGTAACGCCCGAACTCTAGTACGCATTTATTTACAAATTATTTCTTGTTTGAAAGGCTACTCGACGAGTTGGAAGCCCCAGACTCGTCAAGTATAAATTAGCCTTGGACGCAGGATTCAGCCACCTACTCGACGAGTCAAGATCTCTAGACTCGGCGAGTAGGCCTGACAGAGTGAAACCCTAATTTCGGGGTTTTGCACCCGATTTAAGCATCTTAATCCCCACCCCTTGGCCTCATTTACAGCCTCCTTGTCCCAAACCCTAATCCACGAAAACCTAGAGCTTTCCTTGAGTGTGTGAGCCATTTTGAGTGATCTTTGTGTACTTTTGAAGCTTGTGGAAGAAGAGGAAGATAGAGGGCTCAAGAGGGAAGGAGTAGATCCAGAAGCTACACTCCATTTTCTACAATTTATGGTAATCAAGTCTCTAACTTGATCATTCTTTTCTTAGATCTATTTACTTCCATTTTATGAGGGTTTTGGTTCAAGAACCTTGGTCTTTGGGATTTAGACGTCCCAAGTAACTTATATTTCAGATATGGGATCTAGGAGGGGTTCCATGGCATAAAGGTGCAAACTTTATGACCATTGAAGCCCCATGCAAGCTTTTAAGCATTTATATGGACTTTTTAGCCCTAAGAGGCCATGCATGGAAGGAAAGCTAGGAACTTTACGTGTCCAACTGATGTTCAGAGCCTAGATCTAGTATAGTGTGCCTTGGTTTAGGGTATTATGGCTTGTAGACCAAGATCTATTTTCTAGAGAGTTAGGGTTTGAGCTAAACCCATTAAGAAGGACTAAGAGCGGGTAAAGTTGGAAACTCTACCCTTGAAAGTGTATTCCCAGTGTGTAGATGAAGTTTGGAGCTTGGATCTGAAGGGTAGGGGCTTAATCCATTGAGATGGACCAATCAGACAGGGGAAATCGGCGAGTCCATAGAGGGAATCGACGAGTTGATTTGGTTTGTCCCGTTTTAGCTTCAGGTAGGACTCGGTGAGTCGGCGAGTTAAATCGGTAGATCGCGATTGTGAGTAGCCTAGAAACTCGAAGAATCAGGGGGAGACTCGATGAGTTAGATCGCGATATCATGATATAGGACTCGACGAGTTGATGGAGCAACTCGACGAGTTGGGTCAACCAGAAAGTTGACTTTGACCCACACGTTGACTTTGACCAGGGGTAAAATGGTCATTTTACCCTAAGAAGGATTATCAGATTCTGATTAAGTGTTATTATGAAATTGATAGTCGGGGAGTCGCCGGAGCAGCAGTCAGAGATTCCTCACTCGAGTTTTCTGCAGTCAGCTTTACGAGGTGAGTTTCCTTCAGTAGGAATGGGTCTAAGGCACCAAGGTCGGCCCGTAGTATGATATGTTAGTAGCTGAGTGTGGGCGAGGCCCGTATCTCATAGTATCCGAGTGTGGGCGGGGCCCATATCTCATAGCTTAGTTTGATTATGGATATATGCCTGACTGATAGACTTAGTTACACTTGTTGTCTATGTGATACATGTATGTATGTTTAGTAGCTGAGTGTGGGCGGGGCCCGTATTTCATAGCAGTTGAGTGTGGGCGGGGACCGTATCTCAAGTAGCCGAGTGTGGGCGGGGCCCGTATCTCGTAGTAGCTGAGTGTGGGTGGGGCCCATATCTCCCAGTTAGCAGAGTGTGGGCGGGGCCCGTAACTCCATGAGTGTGGGCGGGACCCGTATCTCCTAGTTGCTTGTTATGTGTATGGTATGTGGTAGTTTAGGGAGACTCACTAAGCTTTGTGCTTACAGTTTTTAGTTTTGGTTTCAGGTACTTCCGGTAGCAAGGGGAAGAGCTCGGGATGATTGCAGTTCACACACCATCTGTTCAGCCTAGATGTTTATACTCTGATATATTTGACAGTTGTTATGATATTATGAGATACACTGTTTATGATTTTTATTTGATGTTTGATGACTATGGTTTTATTATTAAATTAAAAATGAGTTTTTTTCAGACTGTATTTTTGGGATGTTTCACTTGTTAGTCCAAGTTAGTGTGTTGGTTAACCACACACGCTCCAGTAACGATTTGACAAGGTGCAAAGTGCAATTTCATGGACAAGCATCATTTTCACATTTTCCTAAAGTAACTAAGATTGAGGATTTACAAAAACATTTAGTTACTTTATAATATTCATTATACTTATTAATGAGGAATTAATGTCCCATCCTACCCGTTCGACTAACGACCCTCCACCAATCAAGGAAGTGGTGGGTGAGAGTGGACACCCATTCAACCGCCATTTTATAGGCAATTTCCGTATACCCCCTTATAGATCGGCTTCGTGAATGAGGCCTACTACTGGTAAGACTGACTCATTTTATACATATATATATATATATATATATATATATATATATATATATATATATATATATATATATATATATATACACATATTAATATTTTAATATTATAATAGTGTAAGGGTTGTATTTTAAACTTTTAAAACACTAGGGTTTTAGAATTTTATATTTCAAAATTAAAACTTTTAATCATATTTTAAATTCCAAAACTTGAGGGAAAATTTTGAAACTTTTTAAAACTTCTAGATCAAATTTTAAATAATTAAACTAATCACATAATTTTGAACATTATCTTAAAATTTGACCATTATCTTTTAATTAGATGAGGATATCCATTACCATATCAGAAAATTCGATTTTAAGCAGTTAAAACAATTTAAGGTAATGATACTTATCTAATTTGGGGCTGAAATCCGAAAAATCTGCCAACAGACGAACCAACTGGCTGAGTCAGGGCTTGGACTCGCCGAGTTCAACAGATAGAGAGCCAAAAACGATTTGATTCAGCTTTGAACAAATTACAATTGCATCATATATAACAGAAAAACACCCTAATCTTTGATACCACTTATGGGTTTTGAGCATTACAACATTCCTATGGTGCACATGCAACCCTATTTACTTTGGATCTATGTTTTTCTCAAGTTATACATGCAAATTAATTTTCCAAAGCAAAACTATAATCTAGCATACAAGAAAACAAAATCTAATCATATTAGGGTTGGAAGAATACCTTTCTTGTTAATTTCTTGATCTTGACCTTCAAGAGCTTAGTCCCTCAAATGATGCACCTCTAATGGAGTCATAAACACCACTTATCAAAAGATGAACAAGAGAGAGGTGGAGACCACAAGATTTCGGCCAGGGTTTCTTTTAAGGAATCAAGTGGCCGATTTCATGACCCGTGGGGTTCCTTTTATAGTTGAGGCTACTAGGTTTTCAACTGGAAACCCTAATTCCCTTGCTTAGGCCCTAAGCAACCCATAGACCCCTACATGATAGGCCTTGGACGAAAATTCTATGGGCTTCCCATAGATTTTCGTCCACCTCTTATCAATAGGATCCATTAGCCCAAACTACAACTATCACTGATTTACATAATCAGTCCCCGTTCTTTTAATCAGTTTCTTTTGATCACTAAACTAATTCCAAATTAATTTCTGATCAATACTAATTAAATAATATGATTTCTCATTTAATATATTATTCTTATAATATATTAATAAATCATTAATTAACCTCTTTCTCCAAAACTCAGTCTATCAAATTGCTATGGTGAAGGCAACCCGAAAGGACCATGCTACTATCAGATCAAGTACATCCCAATTATAGTTATGGGCTTAGACACCTAATCCAACATTATTATGGTCCAAACAATACACGACTCAACTCGGGATACATTAGTTGGCAATCTAACCACTTGAGGACTTCTGGAACGGATACTAAACTTGAAGATTCTTTTCGACTTAGAGACATGTACACTTGAGGAATCCTGGCGTAGCGACTGCTATTCAGGATTTACGACCTAGTAGGAAGACTCAGGAGTTTTCGGGTACTATCTATTACATACTTATAGTGGGATATTATTTGTATTTAATTGCTCTTCACATCTCTCATAAATATCTTCCCTGTTTGATGTCTTATACAGGTTTTTCGGAGAGTGGTGACGGACACGGGATTCTAACGACAGCTTCCTCACCCAATGAGCAGCTAGTACCTGACGTTCCTAACCCTGAGGACACTCTGTCCCCAGCAATCCTAGAGCTGCTCACTCCCATGGTTTCCAAGGAGGATCTTGTAGAGGAGGACTACAGCCCAGCAGCGCCAGAGCACTTCAGCTCTGACTACGATCCAGCGGAGGAGAATACCGCTACCTCTATGGAGATTTCACCACCACCAACACCTTCCCATAGATCCTACCGATCACACACTTCTAGTACTCAATTCCAGAAAACCCCAAGGAAGACTAAAACGATTCCCTCTAGGAAGAGGCTTGCATCTCCACCAACGGCAAAGAAGCCCTGCAGAGACTATTCGTAGATGTCGTAGGTCCGAGAGTGGCAACAGGAGGATTCCATTGGTATTTGTTTTGAGGTAGGATAGTCTTCTACAACATCTACCCTTATCATGGAGACCCAATTAGGCAGGTTGTATCATTCCTAGTAGCTCGGACTGCTCAACACTCCGACCACATAGGAGCCCTTTATGTTACGAAGACCCCAACTGGGCTCTATATGTTGCGGATGGCATTGATCAAGTTGACTGAGCGGGTGGAATGCCTGAAAAGGAGCGAGGCATAGCTGAGATGTGAATCCTACTGGTACAGGATTAGTTATATGAGGCTCTTCATGAGTTGCAGTTTCAGCAGCAGGTGATAAAGGAGGTTGTGAGTCACACTGATAGGTTAGAGCAACAGGTTGATAGGGTTGAGGCGATGATCTGTTTTTCAGACACTTGGTTGGATTTTGTGTATAGACATTTAGTGTAGCTTATTGCACTCTTGATTGTATATATTGGTTTGTAGCTTTCCCTAACATGATGTGCTAGGATGGACACATATTTTTTGAGTTAAGGTACTCGGAAAAGCTAGCAAGATATAGTAGACTTGCTCTTTTGTAAACTATCAAGTTTTTCCTACACTAACCACATCTTTTGGTGGTTCATTGTAAACACAATATGATGTATGTAAAATACTAAGATTATATGGAATCTGTATTTCTATGCTATTACTCTATTGCTTGACTAACACTAACAATAACTTACTACGCCATAACCACTCCCTCGGAGCCAACACATATACGAATGCAAACAACTAACTCACGTCTCGATACTAACTTTAGGACTAAGAAATGGCACCACCAAGATTCAGTAGGTCTAACCCCTTCCAAACCAAGATGCCCATTCTACTCAAAATAATCCTCATATGGACTCAACAGACATAAAGGCCTTGGTAGCATAACGAGTTGCGGATTCTGTGGAAGCTTTTGAAGCAAATCGTAACAAAGGATCTAGACTAGGAGTCGGAGGTGAAAGCTCACAAGGAGAAAAATGTGGTCTTCCGAAGGCTTGTGCGTATAAGAACTTTATGGACTGCAAGCCTAATATGTTTTATGGAAATGAAGGAGTCGTAGGACTCACCAGGTGGATTGAGAAAACCGAATCTATTTTTGAGATTACTCTGTGCGCTAAGGAAAACAAAGTGAAGTTCGTTGCATGTACCTTTATGGATGCGGCATTGTCTTGGTGGAATGGCCACACCAAGACTCTGCGAATTACCAATACAGACTCCTTGTCATGGACAGAGGTTAAGCAAATGCTGATCGAGGAGTATTTCCTCTAGAAGAAATATAGAAATTAGAGAAGGAATTGTGGAACCTCACCATGACCGACGCCGATATCATCTCCAACACCAACCGATTTAATCACTTGGCAACCCTTTGTCCCAATTTTATGACCCCGAAGCACAAAAAGGTTGAGCGATATATTTGGGGGTTTGTTCAACCCATCCGAGGATTGGTCATAACTACTCGACCAATCACATACAACTATGCCAAGAGGTTAGCTTTCAGCCTAACCAATCAGGAGATCAGGTGCGACACTTTGGTTCAGAGAGTGGAATCCCGAAATCTAGAGAAAAAGTGAAAGTATGGAAACGAATTCAAGGGAAACTCTAAGAAAACCCCAAGTAAGAGGAGGGAGACTGTCAAAGTCTATGCCACCACTCCATCTCCAACCCTGGTAGCAACCCCCACACCTTAAGGACAATATGCGAGTAAACACCTGAAATGCAACCTATGCCATTTCCATCACTCCAGAAAATGCATGATTTGCAGTAGGTTCAATAGGAGGGGGCATACCGTTAAGTTTTGCAGACAATCAGCAGCGGTGCCTGTAGCAGTGATAAACCCAGGGATTGCTGCCATGACAGAGAATTGAGCTTGCTATGAATGCAGGATAACTGGGCATATTAAGAGAGATTGAACAAGGTTGCAAAATGATGGAGAGAATGCCAAAGGTAGGGCATTCTTGATCGGACCCAAGGATACCATTTAAGACCCAACCATCGTGATGGGTACGTTTCATGTTAACGGTTTATATGCAACTATACTTTTCGATTCAGGTTCTGTGAAAAGCTTTATCACACCTACGTTTAGAAAACATATTAAGCCATAAGTTTAGAAAATTAGATGAACCTTGCATAGTAGAAATGGATAACGGAGAATCCAGCAGTACACAATAAATTTTAGAAAACTGGCTTCTAATTCTATATTACCTTGTGCCCCGCACCAAGCCGAAATTCTATTCTACGAGAAATCAGTACGACTATCCCTACCTAACAGAGAATCTCTTAATATCTATGGAGACAAGCCCAACAGAAGCCTTCAGACCATTTCTTGCATAAAAGCGATAAAGTACCTTCAAAAGAAGTTCTATGGTTTCTTAGCTCACATGGTAGATAAAAGAAGTGAGAGTAAAGAAATCAATGACATACCCCAAGTATGTTATTTCCCCAATGTATTTCCGGAAGATTTACCAGGATTACTGCCAATTCAAGAACTAGAGTTTCGAATTGACCTGATCCTAGGGGTAGCTCAAGTAGCTAAATCTCCATACAGATTAGCCCCCTCGGAAATGCAAGAACTATTCGAAAAACTCCAAGAGATTCTCGATAATGGTTTCATAAGACCAAGTTTCTCATCTTGGGGAGCCTTGGTGATTTTCATTAAGAAGAAGGACGAAACCTTCAGGATGTGCATCGACTATCGGGAGCTAAACAACCTAACAATCAAGAGTAGATATCTACTCCCAAGGATTGATGATCTATTCGATCAGTTGAAAGGATCCAACTTCTACTCGAAGATTGTTTAAGGTCAGGATACCATCAACTTCGGGTAAAAGAGGAAGACATTCTGAAGACAGCGTTTAGAACTTGCTATGGCCACTACGAGTTTTTGGTTATGCCTTTCAGGCTAACCAACACCCCAGAAGTCTTCATGGACCTGATGAACCGTGTTTGTAAACCCTACCTAGATAAATTCGTCATCATATTCATTGATGACATATTGATCTACTCATGAACAGAAAAAGAACACGGCCAACACCTACGAATCATTCTGTAGTTGTTAAGAAAAAAGAAATTGTGTGACAAATTTTCAAAGTGTGAGTTTCATATTTCGGAAGTACATTTTCTCGAGCATGTGGTGAGCAATAAGGGTATTCACGTCGATCCTTCCAAAATAAAGGCAATAAAGAATTGGGAAGCGCCTATGACGCCAACTAAGGTACGCAAATTCCTAGGATTGGCAGGATGCTATCGGATATTTATTGAGAATTTATCTAAAATAGCTAAACCTCTCATGGCACTAACGCAGAAGGACACAAAGCTTAAATGGGAAGAAAAGCAATAGTCTGTGTTTTAGAAATTGAAACACATGTTGTGTAGTGCGCCAATTCTTTCACACCCCGAAGGAACCGAGGACTTTGTCGTCTATTGCGACACCTCACACCACGGCATGGGATGTGTGCTTATGCAGAGAGACAAGGTTATTGCATATGCTTCATGTTAACTTAAGTTCCACGAGAATAATTACACCACCCATGATTTAGAATTGGGAGCTGTAATTTTCGCCTTAAAAATCTGGCGACATTACTTATATGACGCAAAGTGTACCATATACACTGATCAAAAGAGTCTTCAGCACATCTTCAATAACAAAGAAATCAATATGAGACAACGAATATGGCTAGAATTGTTGAATAAGTACGAGTGTAAAAAATCTGATACCACCCAGGCAAGACAAACGTGGTAGCTGATGCCCTAAGCATAAAAGAACGAGCTAAGCCTTGCAGAGTGAAAGCACTCACCATGAAAATTCAGTCAAACCTTCTTGTCCAAATTTCAGAAGTGCGACTTAAGGAAGAAAACAAGGCAGAAGAATGCCTGCGATGAATAGAGAAGTAATTTGAGTTCAAGGATGATGGAATCCTATGTTTCATGGACCGAAACTGGGTGCCTAAGTTTGGCAATATAAAGAGTATGATTTTGGATGAATCTCACAAAAAAGGTACCCAGTTTAAACAGGATCTGACAAAATGTACCTTGACTTGAAAGCAGAAATTGCCACCTACATGAGAAAATGCTTGACCTGTGCTAAGGTCAACGCAGAATACCAAAAACCCTCAGGTCTACTTCAGCAACCAGAAATACCTGAGTGGAAGTGGGAACAAATCGCCATGGACTTCATTACCAAACTAACCAAGATACCCAGTGGGTATGACATAATTTTGGTAGTGATCGAATGCCTGACTAAGTCCGCACATTTTTTGCCAATCAAAGAGACGAATAAAATGGAAAAGCTAGCCAGAACTTACATTAAGGAGATCATTCAACCACACGACATACCAACCTCTATTATCTCATCTAGAGATATCCAATTTACATCTTAGTTTTGGCAGATAATGCAACGAGAATTGGCAACACGGCTAAATATAAGCATAGTTTACCATTCGCAGACCAATGGCCAAAGTGAAAGGACTATTCAAACACTGGAGGATATGCTTAGAGCGTGCGTGATAGACTTCGTAGATGATTAGGATACTCACCTATCCTTTTTTGAGTTCTCCTATAATAACACCTATCACACTAGTATAAACGTTGCACTATTTGAAGCATTTTATGGAAGAAAGTGTCGTTCACCAATAAGTTGGGCAGAATTCGATGACACCCAATTATCAAAGAAACTCATATGGAACACTTTGATAACAGGACCGTAGATTATACAGGAGACCACCAACAAGATCGTGAAGATCTGAGAACTATTGAAAACGGGTCGCGACCGTCAAAAGAAATAAGCCGACTTCCGGTGAAAACCTCCTAAATTTCAAGTTGGGGATAAAGTCATGCTGAGATTCTCTCCTTGGAAAGGAGTAACAACATTTGGAAAACGGGGAAAAATCAACCCAAGATACATAGGACCTTTCGAGATCCTTTCCAGGGTAGTTCTGGTAGCCTACCGACTCGCATTGTACCGGGAACTCAA